TGAAAGGGCTCAGGCAGCTACACCTAGCCCCAGTCCAATTTGTTCCCAACAAGGTTTGGTTGCAACAACAGACACACAGGTTTTGTTCTATTCCCTCTTAACACAATCAGAGGTAAAGTCCAGCAAGTCTATTGATCCATCCTGTACATCTTGTGAAACCTAAAACCAAAATCTTTTGGCATGCTTCACCCATTTGTGCTTGTAATTCTGGTAAAGGATGAGCTTTACTGATAATTGTGAGTTTTACTGATATTCACGTAGTATTTCCTGGCTTTTCTTAAAAACTCCTCTGGCTTAGTTACAACACCTCCTATTAGGGACAAGCCTTGGTAAGGCTTGTAAGCCTTTCTGTAATAAAACAGAAAATCTTTATCAGTGTTAAGACAAACATAGCCAATCTGCTCTTCAGATAAACATACATCAACAAACAAGACATATGATCTTTAGATTCTTATAAGGGGATGCTTTATGACAGTACTGTGCCAGCACTGGCCTCTTTTGGAGGTGAAAAGTGTCAGAAGTTAGCTTTGGCAACCCTTGCAGATGTCTGAGCCTTGCCTTCCTGAGTCTTTGTAGGCTTGAGAAACCAAGGCTGAGGACGCGCGGGGAGCTCTGCACACAGTGGTAGATGAAAGGGACCTTGTCTGTAAGGTCATTTGTTCTTACTCTTCTTGAGTGGGGTAATTTTCAGTTTCAGGTGGACTTGGAGAAGTAAGGTATTGGAAATTGATGTTGATGATACAGATATTTCAAGGGAACATGAGGTGTTTGAATTGGCCTGTACCAGGCTAACTCTAGCTCCCAACTTAATTTTGCACTTATCTGAGAGTAGATACTTGTCATGCTTCACTTCTTCCTTTTTCTGAACAGCTCCAAGTATTTGCTGCATACTCAGCGCTTTCATTTTCGGACAAAAATCACTCAATAGCAGATAAATCAATTATATTTTGTTTCGCCATTGACTTAGTTGCTATGTTACAAATTATACATGGGGTACATTTTGACAATCAAATGAAATAAGAACAAGCACTTCTGTATTAGAACAATAATTATTGTACCCTTGATGCTCAGGCTTTGCAAGCACTTATCTCAGCAGAGTCCTGTAGATAGAAGCTTTTGTGTGGTGACATGTACCTGATCAACTATTTTTTTTAAATCGGGGGGAAAAACAAATTCCTTTTTCTTGTTTCTCAGAATTTGAAGGATCACCTTATGTGCTCTGAAACTTTGAAACAAGGCATTGAATTCTGGCTTTGTACCAGGTGAAACAAAAGATCAGAAAGTGTAAATGTTAATGGGAATAAACACATTTTAATCCAGTTAAAATCTGTCCTTGTGCTCCTAGAAGAACAGTGACTGAACATTCTACTGTTGCTTAGCTTCAGGATGTAGATGAGTTTCAAAAATTGAGTAGAAGTCAATGACTCAAAAGAAAAGAGAGTCTGAAAAACTTCTGAATTGAGAGACGGTCTTTTTTTTAACAGTAGATGGTCAAAGTACCAGTGTACTTTAGGTACTTTAACACAGTACTAGGTACTTTAACATGAATGTGTTAACCCAAGTGTGATGATTTTAACACTTTTTAAAGCTAAGGATTATTTTCAAGTGCTATTTAAACAACTTTTCTGTAATTTGTAGGAAGCTAAATTTCTCACTCTAGACCCTTAACCATTTTGAAAAAAAAAAAAAAAAAAAGGATAAAAAAGTTCTTTCAATCACTCTGAGTTAATCAGTAAGTAGCAATCATCCCAGAGCATTAAACTGTCCTGGGAGGTAAAGTGCCAAGCTTTGTGTACCCCAGTGAAACAAAACATACTTCAGTGTCATCCTTTAATATTATCTTAGAAGAATGGCTCAGTTTTTCATAGTTGGCAAAGGTTTTATCTTGAGCCATGTCAGTATCTTAGGGCACACATGTGTGACTGTTGCAAACTAATAACTAAATAAAGTCTGATTAAGGACTTTAATCAGCTGGGAAGGCTGTTAGCCATTAATGTTACAACCTTCTTAAGAGTTTCCGATGTTGCAGCTTGAAATAAAAAAAAAATAAAATAATAAAAAAAAAGATATCAATATTTATTTTAACAGTGAAATTATATAACTTTGAGGGTTTTGGAACCAATTTATGGCAATAAATTGATCATTAACAGCTTTTGTTATTAGTGTTTCTCCCTAAATGTACTAAAGGAAAACACCATCAATATTTTCAAATTTCTTCTCATGCATAAATATAGGCTGGATTCAATCTCACTGTGACTGTGGGAGTAAATATCACCTTTATGCAGGATAGCTGGAGGTAATCCCTGAGATATTTAACAGAAAACCTTGGTTGAAACATTCTGAAATGCTCAGGAGCGGCACAAATCCCCACCAAAGGCAACTGAAGGGCTTCCCAGGAGCACTGAATTAGCATGAGTGTCGAACTCTGCGAAGTGTTACTTTGGACAGCAGTGCACCCATACAGCATGAGAGCTCTGGCTTTGAAGCCAAGACCCACATATATGCTGATGCAAGTTAAGTAAAGCATACATATCCCTTAAGGCAGTGTACTGGAGAGGTAAGCATGTAGTGGAGCTTGGCTATGCCTTGGAAGATGAATTGTGTGCTGCTGCCACAAGAAAAGAGGTGAGTTGTATGGAACAGTAGCTATTGTTGCTCACTCCTTATCCATCGTACAGCAAAAGACAATTTTTCTTGCCTGGGGTCACAGCCTGGAATACAAGTGGTTTCAGCTGCAGCCTTAATGAACACAGGATTTTCACCCTGAGAAACATCTTTGCAAGAAGAGTTCTGCAAGTGCTAATTTAAGAGGCTTTCTGTTTGTTTTTGGTTTTGTTTTATTATTACTCTGCTGTTCAAGGAAGCAGGAAATATTACAGAATTGAAAGCTAATTGAATTGCACGAAAGATTCACGTGACAGTTTATTTCCTAAACTAGATTAAACTGCAAGGCCATTTTGAGTTTTATTTTGTGAGTTTTATGAATTTATCAGGTTGAAAGGATCAGAAATACAGTGAAAAATTGCCATGCATTTTATTAAAAGACATTTCTTGTGAGACCTCTCACAAGAAATTAACAACACCATCATATGAGTCACTTTCACATGTCTGTTTTATTTTGGACAATCTTTATGGCCTGCAGATGCTTACAGCAAAGCCATAGTAAGATCTTTCATTTGGCACCAGTATGTCCACTTATTTAAAACTTGCTTCACAGTAACCTAAAACATTCCTATTCAAAAAAGGCAAGATAAAGGCTCATGATGTGCCCACAGCAGATTAAAATCAAACTCATCCTGTGCTCTCTGACTGTATCTTTTTCTCCTCCCATCGTTGATCCAGAGATCTTGAAGGAAATAGAGTCTCCTTCTACGTGTCTGTGTAGTGTCAACACAGTGCGAAGGACAAAGATCTTTTAATGGTAAACTAATTAACGGCTAACTTTGCAATCCTGCTTCGACACTAACAGTGCCAGCACCCTTGATGGCAAGTTCTTTCGCAGGAACTGCGAGCCAGATGAGTGTACAGTGAGGTGGATTGGCAGTTGGCTGGGTGGCAGAGCTCAGAGGGTTGTGCTTGGTGGTGCAGAATCTAGCTGGAGCCCTGCAGCTAGCAGTGTCCCCCAGGGGTCAGCACTGGGTCCAGTGTTAAACTTACTGATCAACGACCTGGACCATGGAACTGAACTGAGTGCACCCTCAGCAAGTTTGCTGACAACACAAAGCTGGGAGGAGTGGCTGATAACCCAAAGGGCTGTACTGCCATTCAGAGGGACCTCAACAGCTGGACCAAGAGGAACCTCATGAGCAAGGGCAAGTGCAGGGTCCTGCACCTAGGGAGGAACAAACCCAAGCACCAGTACAGGCTGGGGCCCTTATCTGGGGGCTGACCTGCTGGAGAGCAGCTCTGCAGAGGGAGACCTGGGAATCCTGGAAGGCTGACCATGGCTCAGCAATGTGCCTTTCTGGCCAAGAAGGCCAGCGGTATCCTGGGCTGCATTCGGAAGAGTGTTGCCAGCAGGCTGAAGGAGGTGATCCTTCCCCTCTGCTCAGCCCTGGTGAGGCCATGGCTGGAGTGTTGTGTCCAGGTCTGGGCTCCCCAGTACAAGAGGGACATGGAGCTACTGGAGCGCGAGTTCAAAGAGGGCTGTGAAGATGATGAGGGGAATGGAGCACCTGTTGTACGAGGACAGGCTGAGAAAGTTGGGTCTGTTTAGCCTAGAAAAGAGAAGACTGAGGGGAGACTTCATCAATGTGTATAAATATCTGACAGGAGGGTGTTGAGAGGATGGAGCAGCTCTCTTCGGTTGTGCAGAGTGACAGGGTGAGAGGCAGTGGGCACAAACTGAAGTGAAGGAAGTGGTCATGGAATTGCAGTTCTCTGGTTTAACAAAATCCATTTTTCTCTGCCTTTTGCTTTTCTGCAGGCTTTTTCTCCTACCCTGTTGACCATCTCCACTGAATGAGCTTTTTTTCGGGTATTCCAGGTGCCTCTGCCGGCATCCTGCCCCCGTGCCCACTAGAACAGCGTGGGAGCTTAGCACTGAGGGGGTACAGCCCGTGGGATACCCATCTTTGAGCACCGCGTACAGCCGAGCGGGCTCACCGCGGCAGTCAGGAGCCACCTCACGACACGCATGTACCGACCACGGCATTTACAGGCGGGTCTGCTCCAAAAACACCCGACAAACCACCAGTTGCACGGGGCACGGCGCCACAGGTGCTCTCACGGACTGCCGAGAGCGACCCTCTCACGGGCACCTCGGCGGGGACTCGAAGCCCGCCGCCGGTCCGTCCGTCGGTCCGTCCGTCCGTCGGTCGGTCGTGGCCGAGCCCGGCTCGTCGAGGCTCCGCCGCCATCTCGCAGCCCCGCGGGTGCCTCCCGTGTCCTTCCGCCCCCCGAAAGCTCTTTCCCCGCGGCGGAGGCGGGTGCGAGTCTGAGCCTCCCGCCCCACCGGGCGGGCCTCCCGCAGCCCAAACCCCTCCCCGCGGAGGAGAAAGTCACCGGGGGGTGGGGAGATGATGACAGGTCCGGGAAGCCGCCGTCGGCAGCGGCAGACCGCGGGTGCCAGCTGCCCGCTTGCTCCGGCCCCCGCCAAACCGTCCCCGCCGCCCCCACCATGGGCTCCCCGCAGCGCCCGCCGCTCGCCCACGTCTTCAGGGGCACCTTCGTGCACTCCCGGCTCTCGACCCCCATGGAGATCCTGCACGGACACCTGCTGGGGGTGGACGACGGCGGCACGGTGAGGAGCGGACGGCGACGGGACGGGAGGGAGATGCGGAGGGACGGGGGGAGATGTCCCGGGCTTCCCGGTGCCCCTCGGGCGCCGATGTCCCCCCCCTTAGGCTCCGGCCGCGATCCGGAGCCCGTGAGGGAGCCGCCGGGGGAAGCGCCCCCCGTCGAGGCAGCCCGGAGCCTCCCCTGGGTGCCCCGTCCCGTCCCCGCGGCGCGGAGAGGGCTCCTCGGCTCCTCGGCTGTGTTTTGGGGAGGTTGTGCCGGTGGCGAGTGCCGAAATAGGAGGAATGGCGCTGTCGTCTCTCTGCCCCCGCCCCCCCGCCCCCCCCCCCTCCCCCCCCCCCCCCCCCCCCTTCGGTACTCGTGCACATCCGAGCGAAGCTTTGTACTGCTCGTCTCAGGGAAAAGAAACAACAAAAACGTGGCACGTACCCGTAGAAAGTTAGGAAAATGGTAAGGTTGGGAGTGTCAATGGTAAGTTTAAGAAGGAGCATAACACTCACTCACAGGTAGTGCAGGACTGATCCCGGCAGGGAAGCTGCACCCTTCCCCTGACGGGGTCACCGGTGACACTGGGTTTCACAGCACACGCTGCCTAGGTGGGCTGGTAATTTCTTCTAGGCTCAGCAGTGTACATAGCCACCCTGTGTGTAATAAAAAAAGACGTTTTCTTTCCTTCTGGTGACTAAACTACTCTGTCAGGATTCAGCAGTATTTGAAATACACACAAAGCACACTCTGGGCTCTTACAGCTTGCTCTCACCATCCACACGGGTTCTCGAGGGCCTCTTTCAAGACAGTTCTCTTATAGCTGCTCTTGGGGAGTCTGGTACAAGCAATAGCAAGGCCTCTGAGAAGCTGTATGTTGGCGTACAGGAGGTGAATACAAACTTTCAAAGCTCTCTATTGGGTGGTGTCAACTAAAAGCAATAGACCTGAATGAGTAGTTTGGTTTGTGTTACTCAGGTGCAGGAGGCAGAAACTTGCATCTTGTCTTGCTCTCTTTAATGGTAACGTCTGCTAAAAAGTGACTACTCCATGCTCTTAGGAAATCAAGACCTATAAGGGATTTTCTTGGAAACCAGACAACTTAGTAGGTTGTATCTAGTAATTTCTGCTCTCAGGCAGAGTCACTCTCTCCCTTTCTCCTAGTGAACGAGGATTCGCTGGGTAGTGTTTTTCATGCATTAATTGGCACATTCCCACACAGTTCTTTAAAAAAATTCCAGAAAACACTGTTATCCAAAAAGGAAATTTCCACCAGAATAGTGTAGCAGGGACTTTCATATTTTTATCTTTTTGAGAATTCCTGTCATTTTACTATTCCAGGATCAAATACAGTGAGTTTTGGTACCCTCTAGCTTTTTTTTTTTTTTTTTTTTTTTTTTTTTTTTTTTTTTTTCATAATTTTGCCTCATGCAGCACTTCCAATGGAATCACTGAAGAGGTGCTTCACAAAGATGGTTAGAATTTTTTTTACCTTTGTTGTTGAAATATACACCAATACTTTGTCAGTGTTACTCCCAAATAATTAAGCTTAACTATGCAGCTATCATTCTTTTGCCTCATGTTGCTGATTCCACCATAGAAAAATTGTGCGTGATCTCAGAAGAGGTGAGCAGACCAGCTTTTTTGTGCAGCCAGGTGCTGTTCTTCAGTATGAGTCCCAGTCTGTCCTCAAAGCAACAGGCGCATACATCTGATGCCATAGAAACACTGCCCAGACCCCACAGCAAGTAGGGACAGTTCTCTGGTAAAGGCAGGAGATGAAGTGTTAGCTCTGCATGCTTTGCCTGTAGATGAAAAAGGAACTTTAGCAGAGAAAACATTGCTGTCAGGTTTGATGACCCAAGTTACCACAAGTTAACAAAATAAGCCTATGTTTAATTGAGTGGTTTGTAGGGCAGTGTGGTGCTGCTCTTGAGGAACTGCCAATAGAAAGAATGGTATTCCCTGAGGCAAAGAAAATAGAGTCAGCTGCAAAATGTGAGCTGCCAGTGAAACATTGGTGTAAATAACATAGTTGAGTAAAATATTAAGAAAATAGAACAAAGATAAAAGCTCCTGCTGAAGGCATGGAAAGAGCAAGAGCTGTGGAATGAGTCAGTGTTGTCAAGTATTGCCAAACATGAGTGTTTAGCTTAAGCCAGTTGGGATAGCAAGTGGCATGTGTACAGGGAGGAAGGTACCAAGTCAACATCAACCATTTGGGGTTCATTGCTTGGTCCTTCCCTGCAGTTTGGCCTATTTGCTCAGGAGCTGGGTCTAATAAGTGCTCCTGTCTCTCATGAGCCTCCTGTTCCAGTTCTGAGAACATGACAAACAATAGGCATTGCATCTCTAATTGTAAAAGTGCTGAATATGGTAGCCACATTAAACAGTGCTGGCAGCAGCTCACTGAGGCTGAAAATAAGACAACATGATGGTCAGTGTCAGGAAAGAGATACGTGTTAATGCTGGTAGCTAATCATTGTGGAGACAGGGAAGGATGAGAAGGATCATAGAACCATAGAATTAGAGAATGGGTTGGATAGGAAGGGACCTTAAAGATCATCAAGTTCCACCCCCCCCCGCCATGAGCAGGGGCACCTCCCGCCAGACCAGGTTGTCCAAAAACCCATCCAGACTGGTTTTGAACATCTCCAAGGGTGGAGCATCCACAGCTTCTATGGGCAGCCTGTGCCAGTGCCACACTGCCCTCACAGTGAAGAATTTCCTCCTAATGTCTAATCTAAATTTTCCCTCTTATAGTTTAAGAACATTCTACCTTGTCCTGTCATTACCTACCTGAGTTAAGAGTCCTTCTCCATCCTTTTTATAAGACCTTTAAGTATTGAAAGGCCACAGTGGGGTCTGCCTGGAGCCTTCTTTTCTTCAGGCTGAACACCCACAGCTCTCTCAGCCTTTCTTCCTCTGAGCATCAAAGGATGTGACATGGAAGAGAAGAAATGACTTGTTACTCATGTTCATCTATGAGTGTCAGAGCCAGAAACAAAGTTACACACAGGCACTGCTGAATTAAAAAAAAAAAAAAGAAAAAAAGAAAAAGAAAAGGGCATATTTCTAGGGGCAATATAATTTACTTTCCACTCTTATGTTAGCAGAATTATTTGCACTGTGATGCTTGGAGGCAGTCAGTGTTTACTATGTCAGGGTTAATACATAGTTGGCTGGACCAGCTATGTGTTGATGGCAGTGCTTTAGAAATGACTTGGAATAAAAAAAGGGGATGAGCTAGGCACTAGGACAGGGACCACCCAGCTCCTCATTTTTGGATTCTTTAGCCCCATCACATGGATGACACATCAGAACTGATTGAAATGTTTGAGCACTGGTCCTAGCAGCTGTTGCTTTTTGTGATAACTTTCTTAAAGTGCTTCATTGCAAGCAGATAGCCAGTCTTCTTATCCGTGCATTTCTCTGATTCAGTAGTGACTTTGGCACAGGGTTTCTTCTTGCCTTTATAGTGTTAAGGTGCAGCACCAATTTAAAGGTTTGGTTCCCAGGTCACCAGGGCAGTTACCTGGAATGTACAAGCAAATACTCAGGAAAATGCCCAAACATGGGACCTCAAGAACCTTAGAGTGTTAGAAGGATGTCAAGAACAAAGGCCTACTAAAGGATTGAGGAATATCTCTTGGAAAAACAAGCAGTCCTGCTGGGAAATTTGTTTGAAAATAATATACATGTGTTTCTGATTCATCTACATCTGCATTTGGCAGTAATGGCCCAGGTGTCAGGGTTAGGTTTATTTCATGCGTTCAGTTCCTTTGAAAAATATTTTTTTCATTCTTCCATAACTTAAGTGTTTTATTTATCTGCACTCTAAAAGTATATAATAGTCACTTCTTTTCCATGGCAACACCCGTTTCCAGCATTTGCCATCTGGTATTGCATGTTTTTTTCTCTCTCTCTCTCTCTCTCTCCCCTTCTCCTTTTTTTTTCCTTTTTTTTTTTTTTTTTTTTCCTGGTTTAGCAGCTCTAACATTAGTCATTCTGCATTCATTTTGACTTCAGTGTCTGAGTGACATTTTCTCTATTGCTCATCAGAAATTTCAGCAGGTCTGTGTTTGAAGCCCCATGCAGATAGACGTCTAATTCAGCTGGCTGAAGGGCCTAAATACTTTTAGTGAATTATTACGTTTAGTGAATTAATTCTTTTCTTTCGAGTTACAAATGGTGTGGTACTATTCACTAGGTTGTGAGTAGGTATTTCAAAATCAAACCCAACAGTCAAGAATAACAAGTATTTCAATGCAAACCTATCACTTTGTAGTAAGTGTGTAAAATCTGTTTTAAGACATGACTTCTGTTGCCTTCATGTAAAGTAGGATATATACTTAAAGTATATAACTATCTTTTCCTTTCTTTTAGATTGTGTTTTTGGAGCAAGCTGATCAGCAAGAGCAGCTGTCTAAGAAGTGGGGCTTCAAAACATCTGACATAAGAGAACTGAGTCATCAGTAAGTGTTGTATTCAGATTAACTTCAGCAAATGCATTTTACTCTCTAAGCAAAGCAGTACAGGTGTGAATAACTTGAGGCAGGGAATATATTAAATCCCATCTTATGGGCAAAACTCCCTTTCAGTTCTGCAAGAGCTCTTAATCCAAGGGCTGCCTGCATTCTGGGTGAGGCCTGCAGTGCAAGAAGCCATCTGTGTACTTTTTGCATTCCTTGGTTTGGGACTGCAGCCATCACTGAATTCTGCTGGCTGACATGTACTGTGCACACCAAAATGCTGTATTTAGTTTCCATGCATAACTTCTTCAGTTCATACAAAGTGTAAGACCACGATCTTCCTTGAGAAAATCATTTACGTACATGGTCTTCTTCATTTTAGATTGCATATTCTTAGCAGCAGGCTGTGCCTGCTCAAAACTCTAGACTTAATAAATGTAGGTAGCCTTGATACTGCAGATATAAAATTAAAGTGCTTGGGCTTTGACACATTCCCTAATAAAAACTAATAAAATTAGAGTGTTAAACCCTCTAAACACAGAGCCATGTATTTCTGGGTGAGTGTTTCTTTTCTGTTCAGCCAACGAAATCCCCCACCTTTCTAGTGAAGTTTTGGATTGTACCTACAATGCTTTATACACAATAGCACAACCGTAAGCAACTTGTAGTTGAGTCTAGATTTGCAGCATAGTTCTAGTGTTCAGCTGTTAAAAAATTTGTATGCTTTGTTGGATTACTTATCGTACAGCGTACATGAGTCATCAGATGTTTTCTCCACTTGAAATAGCCTGGGGAAAATGGAAGTTGCTGTGAGTAAGGGTAAGATTGAGAAAGATCTTTCAGCATTTCTAGCATACAGGAAAACATGAAGAAGGGAAATTACAGAGACAAAATCACTGTTTTTTCATTATCCAGGGAGAAGGGGGGAAGGCTGAGGGAAATTTGATCCTATATGGAGTTCCAGCACAAAACAAAATAATTATAGCAACCTCATGGTGATGTTGAGGTACTCATCCCTGTTATTATATGAGTACTGCATGGCAACGAACCTTATTGCACTTTCATTGTAAAGACACCTTTCCTGTCAAGACACTGAACAGAGCTCTTTTTTTTCCTTTTCTGTCCAGCATCTGTATATGCACTCATAGACACGCTGTTCTTTCATTAAACCTTGAAATTCACTGAATGAGTAATATATACAGATACATTTATATGGTAGTAGAAAACTGGGATGCAGAAAGTTCTAGTTTTGTAGCTGTGAACATCTCACATCTACAGTCATTACAAATATATCTATGCTAGGGATCTAGAGTGAATCTTCTCTTGCTCAGGTGGATTCTTCTGTGAAATAACTTTAATTATTGTGAAATCAGTTCAGCTTTACTTACTGGTATTCAGTCTGGGTAAACATTACAGACAATTGGATTCATCGTGCACTTACATAAGTTTCTAGCCACAGATTTTTTCCTTGCAGGTACCTATATAAATCTGTATAAAAGTTAGACAAGTTATTCATATAGTAAAGGAGTATGGGTAGGGGTGTAGTAGGAATGGATATGCTGGTGCCGAAATAGTAAGGTTGATCTGTACTTGTCATTTACTCTGATGGCTTTTGCTCAAACATACTGCTTAATTAAAAACTACTTTTCTTGGAAAAAGTTTTGGATGTTTTGGACTATTGCTGTTTTCTTTTCTTTCCCTAGTGAATTCTTCATGCCAGGATTGGTTGACACACATATTCATGCTCCTCAGTATTCATTTGCTGGAACAAGAGTAGATCTACCTCTTTTGCAGTGGTTAACTACTTACACATTCCCAACGGAAGCCAAATTCAAAGACAGTGATTTTGCAGAAGAAGTGTACACAAGAGTTGTTGTAAGTTTTTCCAAATTTCATTTACCTGCTTGACAACATTACCATTTGTAAAATATACATAAATTTTCAGGTCAGCAGAAATAGGAGAATGTGTCTTAATGTCATTAAAACCAGATAAAACTGACAACACATCCACTGTTCTAGTTGATAGCCAAGATCATTGCCTGCTACTTCCATTCTTGTTCTGTTGTTGCTGGTAAGACAGTTAATTTAATCATGTGATTGATTAAGAACCATCTCATTAATCATCTTTTCTCATATCTGAGTACACTGACAAGCATTTAAGAGTACTTTCAGAGGTAGGATTGCCGGTAGGTGCTGACAACCTTAATTCAGAAATGATCAAACATGATAAAAAACAAAACAAAAACAAACAAACAGAAAACATTTCAGAGGTTATTTCCTTTTCTGCACAAAACGTCTGTATTACGAATGTATTTTCTGCAATGATTTTGTGAAGTAGGAGACATTTCTCACCAACAAAAAATCTGAGGTGTTTTGGAGCAATTGAGTGAGAAGATTCTGTTGCTGAGGACCCTGTAGCAGGAATACCTTTCATTGCTGATAGAAGTCTGTTGATGGTATTGTGAGTTAAAGAGAGAGGCTGTATTTGAGCCAGTCTGATTTTGAGCAATATAAAGGTTTTGAGGTCAAATTCCACTTGAACAATAAACAGCAAGGTCACGTTGCAGAGTAGATTCTGTGCTATAACTGAAATGTACCTCTTAATACATACACTGAAGTATTTTCTTAAGACCTTTGGTCTTTCTTAAGTCTTAATGACCATTATAAACTGTTCTGCGTTTGTCTAATACTGTGACAACGTGTTGTCAAAATAATAATGTAATGAACCCGTAATAAATACTGTCCTTGCAACACAAATCTTAAAAAAAAAACAAAAAAACAGCCTTCTGCCATCTAGCACAATCACAGCAGTAGGAGCAGCTTGGTCATAAAACGTAGTCACAGGCACACGCCTTCAGCTACGTATAATTTACAGGTGATCTCACCTCATTTCAACATACTGTCTCCATTGGTTCAGATGTGGTGAGATTAGCCCAGAACAAGCGCTCACTTTGCAGCATGTTTAATAACATTACCTGGAAAAAAATTGCCAGTGAGAACTCAGTTATTTGGAGAAGTTTCAACACAATGGTTCATCTCTCCCTGTAGATATAAAACAGGACGAGATCAGAAAGATGTTTTCACCCATAATGCTGCAGAATACCAGTAGCTCTGCAATGCTTCGTGGACAGATGTGTCAGAACAGAATCCAGCCATCTAAATAACTAATATTTTCTGCATTGCTATTTGTTGTTTTCTTGTTGCTAAAACAGTCTTTCTTATGGAACCAATAGTTTCCTGTCCAAACTGGAAAGTATAAAGTGGCTTGAGGAATATAGGTGTTCTGAGAGCCACCTTCTCAGTTTCACTACAGTCTTAATCGAGTTGGAAGACAAAATGAATGTACTGCTTTGCAAGTAACTTGGACGTAATTGCCTTAGCTCAGTAAAAGCCTCTCTGAATCTTCAGCGGTGATTCAGGGAAAGGCATTTGAATGAGTAAAGATTTTTTATTTTTTTTTTTTCTATAAATCAGTGCCACAGCTTTATATTGAATATCTCTTGCAGAGCTCAGAGGGGCAAGAGGAGTGCAGAGTGCAGTGGAGATGGAACAGCAGGAAAATCAAAGACATGGGAAAATAGAAAGGGAGACTAAAAATAGTTGGTTTGTTTATCTTATAAAAGTGACAAATAAGGAGTAAAATAAAAGTATATAAAAAACAACTGGCCTAGGTGAAATAGACCAAAATTTATACTAATTGGTGATGTAGAAACAAGGAAATGGGTGCTAAATTTAAAAATGATAAGCAGAAGTAATCTTTTGTGCAATATGTAGTGTTCTTTTGCATGAGTTAAGGCCAAAAACGAGTTAACAGCAACTAAACAAAGAATGGGTTTGAAAAATGTACTAGCTTTTAACAATTTAAGGATAGTCACTTTTTTTTTTTTTTTTTTAAAGAGCACTTATCATGCTTTGGGGCTTATAATAACCTTCCACTGTTAGAAATGGGACTAAACCCGTAGGAAGCAGATATGTATCTATATTTTTGGACTTGTACTTAAAACATAGTGAAATGTTTCAAGCCAATATTCTGTTTCCAATAAATACTTTCTGTAGTTGCTAAAACAAATGAATTAAGTGAAATTTGCCATTTTGTATCTTGAACCACCTCTGGTCCCTCAAATTTTAGAAAAGCTGATTTTTCATGCGGATGTTTTTGGAAAAAAAAAAAGTTTTTGGATTTCATTAAACAACAATTCTAGGAATAAAAAAATAATATTTAGGAATATTTAATATTTAGGAATAACAAAAAAAAAAAAAGGAATAAAAAACCCCACATATTTGGGGGTCTTAAAAACTAAAAAAAAAAAGACGAAGGTAGTTTGTCTCAGCAGTGACATTATTTTTGTGACTCATTTTAGGCACACCCGTAGACATATTTTGAGTTTAATTAAGATTTTAATTTGAATATTTTATGAAAAAGACAGAGCTTAACTTCATGTTTGTTAAATAGCTTGCTGTAGCCATTCTTAAAAGTTGCATTGTATGTCTCACCTTCTCGCCTGTTAAAAAAATATATATTCTCACATTACATTCTAGCCAGAATCCATTTTAAGCCCTTCTGGTAGATAGGACATCAATATAGTATGCGTTAGTCTCAAGATCGAGTGAAAGTATAAATGATTTGATGACTTAATGTAACTTTACATGACTCTTCATCTACTGGTATGTCCTCCAAAAGTAATATGAACAGATAGCAATGCACCCATTCCTTTCAAACTATATAATTAGATAAATAATTAAACTACACTCTGAGCAGTGGTTCTCAGCTTCCTTCTATTCTGGAGTTTGTTACTTTGGCCTCAGGGATAATGAAGAATTTGTGTACCTGAAAGCCTGGTTATTTTCCCCAGCCACATCAGATAGCCAAATAAAAACCACTACTTTCTCCCAAAGGTATTGCTTTGCAGTTACTTACAGTGCTTCACTGTGAAAACTGGAGAGCTTTTCCAAACTAGGAAATAACATATATAACTGGTTGTTTGTATTTCTAAGTAAAAATCAAGTTAGACATAAATCAGAATTTTATTTCTACTTTGAGTGAAGGAAATACAGACTGGTTTCTATGGGTTTATTAAACCATTGTTAAAAACCTGTATAGCTTTGGAAGAGGAATTTTTGTGTTTATTAACATTCAGACTTTAAAAAGCTATTATGAAATTAAAAATCTGTATTTTACCTTCCAACTTCACTGTAACTCCCATGGAATTTCACAATAACCAAATGTTCTTGCAGCTTGAAATCAGACAGCCTATTCTGCATTTTGGCAGCTAGACTATATTTTTCCAAACTGTTAAAACTGATTTCTTTTTATAGAGACGAACTCTAAAGAATGGCACCACTACAGCTTGCTACTTTGCTTCAATTCACACAGATACGTCTCTTCTTCTGGCTGAAATTATAGGTAAGATGGTACGAGTGAGTTCTCAAGGATGTTATGCAGACTGTTAGTTGAAGGAAACAGAGCTTGGGAGTTTTAGAGTAGCTAAGGATCTGTCTTTCAATTTTGTTAATTTTACTTTTTTTTATTCATTTTCTCTGTCATACCACATCCCCCAAATCCTGCCTAGTTACCCTTTGCTTAACAACCTCTCCTCTACTGTTGTTTGCTTCCTCTGCCTCTGCTGGACTTCATTCCCAAATCAGCTGCTGTCTGAGCTTGAGCGAGGTCTGCTGGAGTTTTTCTACAGGGCAGTCCTCTGCTATTTCTAGCCTTTTGCTGTTTGAGGATTAAAGGGCTGAATGGCAAGAGGTGCAGTCAGTGCTTTAACTTCCTGATACTCTGATGTTTCAGTTTAGAATCAACATCAAAAATTTCCACACCCCCTTTGAAACCAGAACAATGGGAGTTGCATCAGGATCTTATCCCTTCTTTCTGCTCACTGTTGCAAATCCCTGTCATTTCTTTTCAAGTTTTGTGCTTCTTGCAAGAATTCTCAAAGCTCAGCTCCCATAGGAGAGTGAGACAATAAGAATCAGCTTCCACCAAAAATTTCATAGTCTTTCTGATTTTTAAGGAAACCCTAGAACTTTGAAAGTGGTGTACTCAACATCTCAGATGTTAAACAATGGGCAAAAAGATTTAGGAAAACAGTTACAAGCTTAGAATTTAATGTTACATGTATTTCTGTCGTGTTACACCTAAGTTCTGAGTCACAGCATTGATAAATCTCAATAAGTAGGCCAGAAGTAGCTCTAGCTGCAAATGGGAGTCATTTTAGGACTTCTCTCATTACCTTCTCTTAAGGAAACACGGTTTGCTAACATCTTCATGCATTTTCTTAGCTCAGAGTGACCACCTACTGCAGCTACTGTACTTTGATGCGTTTCTCCCTGCTGGGGGACGTTTCTCATCCTCTGCTTCACAGTGCTCATCTTCATTCACTACCATTATGAATTCTGGTTGTGGTTAAACTACTGGTAATTCAGTCCTCAATTATAACACAAAGTTGGGTACTAATGTGGAAGAGGAGAACTCTGGAAGAGGAGGACCTGGGAGTGATGGTGGACAGTCGGCTGAATATGAGCCAGCAGTGTGCTCAGGTGGCCAAGAAGGCCAACGGCATCCTGGCTTGTATCAGAAACAGTGTGACCAGCAGGGCTAGGGAGGTGATCGTCCCCCTGTACTCGGCTCTGGTGAGGCCGCACCTCGAGTACTGTGTTCAGTTCTGGGCCCCTCGCTACAAGAAGGACATCGAGGTGCTTGAGCGGGTCCAAAGAAGGGCGACGAAGCTGGTGAGGGGCCTGGAGAACAAGTCCTACGAGGAGCGGCTGAAGGAGCTGGGCTTGTTCAGCCTGGAGAAGAGGAGGCTCAGGGGTGACCTTATTGCTCTCTACAGATACCTTAAAGGAAGCTGTAGAGAGGTGGGGGTTGGCCTGTTCTCCCACGTGCCTGGTGACAGGACGAGGGGGAATGGGCTAAAGTTGCACCAGGGGAGTTTTAGGTTAGATGTTAGGAAGAACTTCTTTACTGAAAGGGTTGTGAGGCATTGGAACAGGCTGCCCAGGGAGGTGGTGGAGTCACCATCCCTGGAAGTCTTCAAAAGACGTTTAGATGTAGAGCTTAGGGATATGGTTTAGTGGGGACTGTTAGTGTTAGGTTAGAGGTTGGACTCGATGATCTTGAGGTCTCTTCCAACCTAGAAATTCTGTGATATTCTGTGATATTCTGTAACTCTTACTTAAATGCAGTTTTTCTCTTTCCTTTTTGGCTTTAAAGATCACAAGTATGGCCCCAACTTAAAGACAAGAAAACAACATAAATTCTGTTCATCTTAAATAAAACTGGAGGATGTGAAATTTACTATTTTCTTTTAAATTCAGGTTTTGCTAGCAGTTTTTGTAAAGAACAAGTGATTTTGAGTTTTATTTTCTTTATTTTCTTTATTTATCTCAACAGATAAATTTGGACAACGAGCATTTGTTGGCAAAGTCTGTATGGATATAAATGACACTGTACCACACTACAAAGAGACTACAGCTGATTCTGTTCAAGAGACAGAAAGGTAAGACTATTAATTTATTGGTACAACCTTTAGAAATAAGACTTTAATAGTCTTGAAAGTGAGGGTGAAGCCATGATCAAGGATTTACAGGTGTAGGAACTATCCTATTTTTCTTACAGTATTATTTTCTACAGTTCTGGCAATACATGCTTACCCAGCTGCTGCACAGCATGTTCATTTTCTCTGTGGCTTTGCCTAAGGAAGTGAGAAGCTGCAGCATCACATTTTGGAGAAGACCTGTGTGTTATGGTCTGGCTTCTACCTCTTCTTTTCCCTTCACAGCTCTCTGGGTAGAGGTTACGTGACCTGACAGGGGTGGAGAGGTAGAGAATCAGTTCCTTTGCCCCCATTAACTTCTGAGCTATCTCCTTTCCCCATTTAGGATAAAGCTTTACTCCAGTGGTAGGACTTGGCTTTCATATACCCACTTCTAAATGTGCTCTGGTTCTCTTCTTCTCCAGTATAACACCAATGAAACTACTCTAACTTGCAAATGAGTGAATGAAGGATAATCAAGTGAAGATAATGTGCATGGTGGATTTGTTGTACGTTGGAGGGGAATCCAGGGCTGAAGCATGGGAGCCAGCTGTCTCAGGCTTCCCCTGTCTTCTGTGTCCACCTTCTGAAGATGCTTAGGTAGATGTAGGACTTTGCTCACGAGGTTATTTATACAAATGTGTAAATGTTTCAAATATCATGCTGAAAGAGTAAATACCTAACAGTATTGTAAACCTCTTACATCACTTGAGTGAAATTGCCATCTTATTTTTGCAAGTCATGCTAGAACAATGCTCTTAAAAGTTAGAAATAGTCATGGGTTTCAAATAGTGTTTGTATTTAGAGACATTTTGAAACATATAGTATTAGTCACCTGCACTGTACTAACATTTGCTTTTGTTCACCTAAATCCCTGGTTTTCGTAATACAGTGAATCCCATTGAATGGGCCTGAGTGTGGTAGCACTTCCAGTTCTGCCATTTTTTAAAGCTTCAAAATGATCTAAATAGCTTTCCTTCATTTCCCATCTTGTGCCTCTACTCCCTTCTTGTGCAATTATATTAATAACAAATGTTCTTCAGCTTTGGATGAGAGTGTGCCACAGGTACTCGACAGCTGTCTAGAGAAGAGATCTGTGCTTGTCAGCATAGATCAGGAGTACTCACCTCATCAGGCCTGAATCTCCTCACCGGTACAATTTCAGAGGATGAAGAAGCTCTCCCTTTAAGAGGGTGACTTTTTTATTTAAAAAAAAAAAAAAAAGAGAGAGAGAGAGAAATGTGATCTGTCACACTGTCAAAAATTTATTACACTGATTTCAAATCTTTGCAGTTAACCTACAGAAATGTTTGTACTGTAGGCACAGAGACAAGATTCAGTTCAAAGTGTTTTGTTTCAATCTGCCCTTCTCATGTGAACAGGATTGAATAAAAATTTCATGAAATGAAAAGCAGAATATGTTATATGCCACTAGCAGTCATCTGGAAGTGGAACACCTATGTTCAGACCTGTTCTGAAGAAGTTGGTTGTTTGAACCTGAGCTTATTTCCTTATAGAGAAGTTATAAATCAACAAAGCACAGTTTATTTAAAGCTAGTTCTTTAGGCTTTAAAACCATGCTGATTCTCTGTAATTCACGTGAAAAAATGAAAACAGCCATCCTGAGGTTTTATATTATCTCTTGAGAATGGTATTTGCATTACAATTTCTGATCTGGTGTATATTTATTTATTATATCTGGTGAATCAGTAGGAGGAGAGGTGGACAGACAAAAACCTAATTCACCTTGCAAAGTTTAGCAATGGTGTGTTAAAAGTCCTTTGTTCATTGCAGAAATTTAGCTTACATCTCTCACTTTCAACCAGTGATATGGCACTAGCCACAGTGTTGTGAATCTAGTCTCCAGCATTTATTTTCTTTTCCACCTAAAGATATTTGACAGATTTGATCCAATGTTTATTGTGACTAAAACTATGGAGTTTTTGCACTGTAAACTATGACATAAAATTTCAGAGACCCTGATCAGAATATAATGTAAAGGCTTTTTGAAATTCTATGTATACATTATGCATACATGTGTTTAAGGTATTTCTTCTCTTCAAAGTCAGAGGGAGCTTTATTTGCTCCATATTGCTCCATGAACAGTAATGACTGTCCATATTGGCTGCTGGGAGCTTTTCAAAGAGTTCTGTGAGGTAGCTTATGTAGATTTACCTTCTATGAGGTAAATCTACAGTGTGTTTTCTGTAAAGTCGATAGTTTATACACTAACATTAATATAAATATATCTAGAAAATTAAGGGTCCTTTAAGTGCATGAGGACATCTGTAACTACTGTAAGCAATGTACAAATGGGATTTTAAAATCATAATATGTTTAATGTTGTGGTTTAAATTCATGGGCATATAAGAGTGTTTTTTTGTGTGTGTGTGTGTTTTTTTTTTCTTCTAAAGTTGCAACAGTAGGATGTAATTATGTTTAAAATTAATTTAATGTTTATATTTATTTGGTTTCCGGTGAGAACACAAAGTAATTACCATGTGTCTAAAGTTAATTATTGAAAATGAAAAAGATTCTGCATATTCAAGGTCAAATTCCCAACTAGCATATTTTTTTGTAACTGTCCTGGCCTGATTGTGTTGCATCTTCTTATTTCATCTGAGAATCTGGCACAACTTCCTGTAAAAAGTTGATAGATGCCTGAAATGCTTAACAGAACATTTAAGTAAATATTTTCTCTATTTTCATAATTTATAGCACAGATCACAGGTGACAAATTTATAACAGATTTTTCCCTATGCTTTTTCAGGTTTGTTAGAGAGCTAACGGAAAGGCAAGTAAGTAGACTTCTCCTTTCTGTTCACTTCTGTATACAGAAGATGTTATGTGAATACATGAAATAGTTAATCTCATTGACAAATTCTACTGACTTAGTGACAAGTCAATAAATATAGATCTTTCTGTACAGCAGACAGAAATCATCAGTCTGCAAAGTGTTCTTCTAGTTGTGTTGCTGTGAAATTGACTTCTAGCAGCACAAATTCAGATTTGTGTGGTCTGAACACAGCAGAGTAATGTTCTGTGAACATTCTTTATTCACTTAAAAGTGTTCAGCTTCCTGCAGAGGAAAATTTTCTATTAAAGGCAGATGGAAGTCAGTCCATCACTCTATGGTATATAAATAGACAAATAAAAGAAGTTTTCACCAACACAGATTGGTGTCTTTACAGCACAGTTACTAATCCATTACCATGTCAGTGTTTTGGGTCACCACATATCTTCCAGTGTATTTCTAAAGAAATTCTGTAGGTACAGGTTGACACTCCAATATTAAAAGCAGGGATATAATTTTTCTTGTCAGCCCTTTCATTTTGATAGCTTAATTTGTTAACGTTTATAGCTCAAAACATGCAAGAGTAGATGCCTAGAGTTTAATGCCTAAATCATATGTATTGGTAGAGTAAGTATACTAATCTTCAGAAGTCCTGAGCTACTTGTGTCTGGGAGATGATATAAGAAACTGCAAGACAAGATATCACACACTTTCTTCTAGTGGTTCCATGTGCACAATGAACGGTAGGTATTCCCTGGATCTGAAGGCAGAGTTGTAAAGCCATTGTCTATATGTGCAAATGTGCAAATTACATTGTGCAAAGTAAACACCTGTAGCCCTAGTCCAGGTATCCACAGCTTCCTACTGAACAGCATATCTGGTGTTACCAATAGCCTTCCTGTCTGTTGAGTGTAGGGACAGTAGAGTATATGGACAGCAGAGTATAGGGACAGTTTGCTCTGCTCCATCACGAGCAGAGAAGATCAAAGATGAAAAAGGTTTTGGCTTTACATATCTCTGCATCTTTACATCACTACCTCTTTGATGCTCACAGAAGTACAAATCAAAAGAAGGTCTGGTTTATCTCTTATAATTCATACTTGACTGTGAGCAAATGTGAAGAAGCATCCAGTGCATCTGCTGAAGTCTGATAAAATCTCAGAGACTTGAGGAAGGAGTTCTAATGAAATGAACTTCACTGAGTTTCATTAAACCAGTTTTCAGAGGAACTTCTGTGATGAAGTTTCAGGATTCTCTTACTTTGAGGAAGTTTCTGATAAAAATAAGAAAATGACTGTGAGCTTTATTCACATTGGCAAGTCTGAAGAAAAGAATAAGCAATAGAGCTAAAATCTAATTGTGTAAATGATTGTCTTAATTATGGTTACTGATACATATGTGGAATCACAAACATGTCTTTCTAATATTTTCAGTATCCAAGGGTACAACCTATAGTAACCCCCCGCTTTGGCCCTTCCTGCACAGAAGATTTGCTGCGTTCACTTGGTGATTTAGCACAAGCTCATGACCTACACGTGCAGGTAAATTCTGAGAGCTCTGTTTACAACTTAAATATTTTGGATAGAAAGCATGAAGATCAAGCCATTTTCACAATTTACACAAAGCACTTAAACCACATTCTTAACTTGGAACCCATCTTTTAAATTCCTCTTAAATTATTAGAGGTACTCTGCAATAGTACTATGACCTCCACAGCAAATGAGAAAGCTCATAGCTTGAAGGATGCACAATTCATCAAGCCCCAGTGCATGGTTACTAGGAAACTGACATCAAGTATTGTAAGTTAGAGCAACCCTTGGGTTGCTAAAGGTTGCTGTCCCTTGTCCAAGGTTGTTATGTCTGCCTCTCAGCCATCTGCTGTTTCTGTACAGGGCAGATTTCAGAAGAGAAGAGAATTGCTCATCTTTCTGTCTCAATTACTCATATTTCTATCTTATTTAACATTGTTAATGTTGTTGTAGAATTTCCTCTACAATAAGGTTTCTGCATTTAAAGAAGGCGTATTTTGAAGCTTATAGGTGTGTTGAACCTTTGAGATTTTTCTTTTTTGGTTAAACAGTCCTAGTATATGTGGTTTTAAAGCTACACTACATTAGGACTGTTTGTCATTACAAGGTGAGCATTTGAAAATACAGATAGTACATGCTTCAGCCTTCACACAAGAGGAACCAGGTTTGTGTCTGAGACCAGAAATTGATCAGTCTGTCTGAAGATACATGGAGCAGTTACCCTGTATGTTACCCCGATCCCAGGGTCCACTCTGTGGTAGGCTTCTATCTTTCTTTTACATCATGGTCATATCTATCATTTTATTTATTTAACATTTGCTAAATACCAATTTGGTTGTTAAGTCATCATGCTACAGGGACAGACTATCCAGGTATATCTCCTCAGATCAAGTTTAAAGGAAGAAATTGAGGTATTGTTTTGGATCACAGGGGATCTCTCCAATGAAAACAGAAACCCAAGGACAAGATCTAGCTATATGCTTTAGAAAGACTATTTTCTATCATTATGTGCTTGCAGCAGGTTGCTCAGAAGTTTGAAATGCTATAATGCTATTTAAAGAATTCATCACTATTTATTTTCTCATTGCAGAGTCACATAAGTGAGACTGAAGAAGAACTCAAACTTGTGGAGAATATGTTTCCTTCTTATCAGAGTTACACTGAACTGTATGATAAAAACAAGCTGCTTACCAGCAAGGTAGCTGCATATCAACTTCACAGCATAGCTTAGATTTATTCATGTATCGAATATTCTGGTTAATTGTAGTTACCTGAAAAGTTTGTACTGTTTTGTCAAAGTCAGTGGCATCTGGGAGAGAGTAAACTGTTTCTATGTTCTTTGTTGCACAGGTGTTGGTGAAGGGACTGAAACTTTAGACAAGCTTATACTTTATGTAGACATTTTAGGGGAGATGAACAATAAAGGTGTTAATACTCCCTGAGCCTGTTTTTAAGAGTCTAAACAGGGCTGGGAACAGTAGGATTGGAAGGAGGCTAGATAAAGCTGGTGATGTAGGAGCTGGTAATTCTGGGGCAGTAGCCAGTTGTCCTCATATTACAGTGTTCTTGCACACTGCTTTTTCCAGTACATTTTTTTTTTTCTACGGATTTACAGCAAATGAACCAGGTTTAATTGAAGAATATTCTAGATGCAATCTAGTGCAAAACTTTAGAGAGACAATGAGAAACACACTAAGTACATACATCTTCCATTGTATCTGTTACACTCTTGACCCCAATGCTTAATCTCTATGATATCTATGAAATACACATCATAAAGTTACTACAGTACTATGCGAGATAGGCAGTTCTTTCTTTTGTTTCTTGCAGCTAGTTCATAAGTGACAAACACAACCACCACAAGATACCCCATCTTTTTATATAAGTAAATGAAAACAAGCAGAGGGATTTCAGGCTTATTGAAGTTAATGAGAGTTCCTCCCTTCTTGATTTCAAAAGCTTCATTCAAGAATGGCATGCCTTTACCCTTGACAGTAACAGGTGCCATTTTGGCTGTTAAAAGCAGTGCAACAAAAAACTTACAGATACTGAAGAAAATGCTATTTTTTCTAAAATTGTTGGTTTCGTTTTTCTTTAGACAGTGATGGCTCATGCCTGTTATCTTTCTGACGAAGAGCTGGAACTTTTTAATCTTCGTGGATCTGCAGTAGCACATTGCCCCAGTTCTAATTTTTCGTAAGTAAATAAAATAAGTTAATGGTGTTCAACTGGAAAGAGCTGTTTTTCACATAGTATGAAGATACTATAGAATCATAAAATGTCTCAGGTTTTAAGGGACTTTAGAGATCATTTACTTCCAACCCCCTTGCCATAGGCAGGGATGCCACCCACTAGATCAGGTTGCCTACAGCTTCATCCAACCTGGTCCTGAATACCTCCAGGAATGGGGCATCCACAGCCTCTCTGGGCAACCTGTTCCAGAGCCTCACTAGTCCAGCCTACAGAAGGAAGGCTGCATATATCATATTCCGTTTCACCAGAAGTGACATACTGGATCAAGCATGGCTGTTCATGTTCCACTTCTGTGTGGTATGCTCTGGACGGACGTTATTTTTGAGTATAATCACTAGGAGTATTTCTTTTTTTAAACTTAGTTTCTCATGACTGTCCTATCAATGGCAAATTCCTTCTCACCCAGAATACATATATATTATTGGGAAATGGGAAAGGCTGAAATATATTTATATTCTCAGAAATTATATACTATACAGTATCCTATTGGGGTACTAAAAATGACTGCTACGGGCATTTTGCCTATAACATAATCAGTAGCTTGTTTGCAATGGCTTACTGGAGCTTGTGAAATGATCTACCATATCCTGGGAGTACACTTTACATCATATTTGGATTTTTTTCACAAACGTACTAAGAGCTTATTTTCAAAAGATAACTCTGAAACTGTTTTATTAGAAAACTAAAAGTTTCCATTAGGAAAAGTATTTTAGTGATTAAGACCCATCATCCAGATTTATGAATGTAAATGGTTCATCCCTGTTTAATAAACATGATCTATTACATGCAGTCTAAGAACCCTTGTCCTGAAACTGCCCGAAGTCCTCTTACTGAACTGCAGAAATAACTTTCCTTTGTGTATAATACAGAAGACATCTCTTTTTCCAATCCAGGTTGAGCAGTGGCATCTTAAATGTACAAAAGGTTCTCAAACACAATGTGAAGCTTGGCCTCGGCACAGGTTGGTAGCTTTCTTAGAAAAGAGTCTATTTTAGAAATTGCTGGAAGATACAAAAACATACCCTCATGTTTGTATTGGAAAGCCATCATGCCACCAATTTGTGGCTTAATATGTAGAGGTGGTCAAAAGATGTTTGAGCAGTTTTGTTCCTGTCTTAACAGTAAACTGCCTCAACAACAACTTTTCCAGATTAAGTTTCTGTTCTGCATTGTATTTTATTTACCTGACCTTGTAGAACTCATGTCAGGAATCACCCATTCAAAGACAATGCTTAGCAGTAAACCTTTTCATGTTTACTACCTCTTGCACTTTGTAACACTTTAATCAAGCTCATAATAATTTAATCCAGAAATATTCCCAAAGTTTGTTTCTAAGACTCTTATCCCTTCTAGATGTTGCTGGGGGATATTCAGCTTCTATGCTTGATGCTATCAGGAAAGCAATGATGGCATCTACCACCCTTCAAATTAATAAAGTAAATGAAAGAGGACTTACTCTTAAAGAAGTTTTTCGACTTGCAACTTTAGGAGGAAGCCAAGGTAAGAAGAAATTTCTTTATAATATATAGAGATAACTTTTGCTTTTTTTTTTTTTTTGATATAATGTCTTCTTGTCTATAAAGGATGGCTGAACTTAAAGATTTTCTGATTCCAGAGTGAAGTCTAAAATTATATTTGCTTGGCACAGATTTCTTTCGCTCCCTCATAACAATACCACTCTCACTATAGAAAAGCATTTGTACTAGTATTGAGAGTTTAATAAAGGCATCCTAATGATTTTTCAGGGCTGTACATTTTATTTGAAAAGATCCTCAGACTTCTTAATCATTGGTGCTTGTAAATTTGTCACACCAATTGGAAAGACTTTGTTTTCTCAGCAACCAAAATGTAAGAAAAAGCTGTGCAATTACTGTAAAATCACGCATCCTGTTTGTCATCAGTTTCTAATTTTGTTTCTTCTTGTTGAGATCTCAATGAGGCAGCTTTTGACTGTCTTTTTAGCAAATCAAAACATTATGCAAATTTCCCCATGGTGAGAGTACAGCACAAAGTTTAAGCACGATATGTATCAGAGTTATTTATGACAAAATTGCATCTGCAGAATATAGTCATATAGTATATATGTTATTCTGTCTCACTGAAATGTTTTGCCACAATTAGTATGCACATATGGACTTATACAATTAGTAAAGTTTTAGCATAACTTGTATCATTTCACAGAGAGCAAATCCACATATTTGCTCCCAAAAATTTGTTAGAGTTTTAGTCAAAAGAAAAGCACCCTCCTCCTCATAAAGAACTGGTCCCAAGTCTTTCAATGTAACATTTTTGTTGTTGTGAAAAAATACCAATTAATTGGAAACTATTACACAGAATCACAGAATTTCTAGGTTGGAAGAGACCTCAAGATCATCGAGTCCAACCTCTGACCTAACACTAACAGTCCCCACTAAACCATATCCCTAAGCTCTATATTAGTGGAAGCTTGAAAGATGTAGTGAAAATGCCTTGTCCACTGTCTGGACTGTGGACAAGGACTGTAGGGTGTAATGTAGGTAAGAAATGTAATGTAGGGAAAGAAATGTAATGTAGGGAATGTAATGTAATGTAGGGAAGTAGGTAAGAAAGAAAATGGTCAGAGGACAAAAAAGAGAGTTTTTTGTTTGTTTGTTTGTTTGTTTGTTTGTTTTCCCAGAATATATACTGTACTCATCTTGGTTGAGAGTAAGTTAGTTCATATACAGAATGGAAAAATAAAATCCCGGACTTGTATATGGTTTCCCCTCCCAGCTACTCTTGAGCTTGTTTTATCTGGGTTCTTAAGCTTACAATAATATAGTAAGATTGTTTATGTATTGATTTCAACAAGTTCTATCATTTGTAAGGGTAGAAAGAATATAATTTACTCGTTCAGCCTTCCAGTACTCCAGACAAGTAGTTTGGGCAAATTTAAGAGATTTTTTTTCTTGTCATACTTTGCTGGGACCCTAAACACTTATCACCCTCTTGTGTTTATTTTAAAAACTGCATTCTGTTCACAAACCTAAAAGAATATGACAAAATTGTAGTTGAAATTGGTAGACAGCCAAAACATTTCACCATTTTGAGGAGTTTCAACATTTTTAATGTACTGTATGTATAATATGTATGTATATTATGTATTATATTATACATACATATTATAGATTATTGCTATATATATAAGTGTACACCATTCATTAGATAAGGAATTGACTGGATGGCTGCACCCAGAGTTGTGGCCAATGCCTCTATGTCCAAATGGATACTGGTGATGAGTGGTCTTCCTCGGGGGTCCATCCTGGGACCTGTGCTGTTTAATATCTTTTATCAATGATATAGACAGTGGAATCAAGCGCACCCCAGTGGAATCAAGCGCACCCTCAGCAAGTTTGCAGATGACACTGAGCTGAGTTGTGCAATTGATACAACAGAAGGAAGGGGTGTGTGGTGCTTTTACACACCTGGGCAGCTGAGCTAACCACAACCACTCTTTCACTTACCTTCCTCAAAGGGAAGGGGGGAGAAAATAGAATGAAAGGGCTCAGGGGTTGAGATAAGGACAGGGAGATTGCTCAACAGTTACTGTCATGGGCAAAAAAAGACTCAGCATAGGGAGATTAATAAAAATTTATTACCTATTACTAACAAAATAGAGCAGTGAGAAACTAAACTAAACTAAAACAAAACAAAACAAAATAATAAAAGCACCTTTCCCTCATCCACCTTCTACACCTCCTCCCACAAAGCAGTGCAGGGGAATGGGGCTGTGGTCAGTCCCTGATGCTTCATCTCTGCTGTGCCCTCAGGGTCCCTCTCTGCCCCTGCTCCCTGTGGGGTCCCTCCCATGGATGCCATCCTTCCTGAGCTGAGCCTGCGGGGGCTGCCCACAGGCAGCAGCTCTTCAAGCACTGCTCCCACACGGCTCTGTACCACGGGGTCCATCCATCCCCCAGGAGCAAACTGCTCTAGCACGGGTCCCCCACAGGTGGGTGGCAGCTCCCCCCAGGTCCCCTGCTCCTGCGGGGGCTCTCCATGGGCCGCAGCCTCCTCCAGGCCACATCCACCTGCTCCACGGGGGCTCCTCCACCCATGGGGGGGCTGCAGCGTGGAGATCTGCTCCATGTGGGACCCATGGGCTGCAGGGGGACAGCCTGCTCCACCAGGGGCCTCTCCCTGCACAGCCCGCAGGGGAACTGCTGCTGCCTGCCTGCAGCACCTCCTGCCCTCCTGCTGCAGTCACCTGGGGGTCTACATGGCTGCTTTTCACCCTTCACTTTCCCAGCTGCTGTTGTTCAGCAGGTTTTTTTCCCCTTTTCTTCAATCTGCTCTCCCAGAGACACAACCAACATCGTTCCCTTGATTGGCTCTGGCCAGCAGTGGGTCCTTTTGGAGCTGGCTGGGACTATTCCTTATCTAACATGGGGCAGCTTCTGGATTCTTCTCACAGAGGCCACCCCTGCAGTCCCCTGCTACCAAAACCTTGCCATGTAAACCCAATACAGGATGCAATCCAATGGGCCCTGGACAAGCTGGAGAAGTGGGCCCACATGAACTGCATGAGGTTTAACAAGGCCAAGTGGAAGGTGCTGCACCTGGGTCAGGGCAGTCCCAGACATGTGCACAGGCTGGGAGAAGAACTCACAGAGAGCAATCCGGCAGAGAAGGACCTGGGGGTTCTGTTGCACAAAAAACTTGACAAGAGCCAGTAGTGTCTGCTTGCAGCCCAGAAGTCCAACTGCGTCCTGGGGTGCATCAGCAGAGGGGTGGGCAGCAGGTGGAGGGAGGTGATTGTGCCCCTCTGCTCTGCCCTTGTGAGGCCCCACCTGGAGTGCTGCATCCAGGTCTGGGCCCCCACCGCAAGAAGGTTGTGGGGCTGTTAGAGTGGGTCCAGAGGAGGGGCCATGAAAGTGATCAGAAGGCTGGAGCCCTGTGAAGAAATGCTGAGAGAGCTGGGGATGTTCAGCCAACAGAAGAGGAGGCACCAGGGAGACCTCATCACAGCCTCTCAGTTTATAAAGGGGGCTTATAAAAAAGGAGGGCAACTTTTTACTCAGGCAGATAAATGATAGGACAAGGAGAAATAGTGTTAAACTAAACAACGGGAGATTTATATCAGATGTTAGGAGGAAATTCTTCACTGTGAGGGTGGAGAAGCATGGGAACAGGCTGACCAGAGAAGCTGTTGATGCCCCTTCCCTGGAGGTGTTCAAGGGCAGGCTGGATGGGTCTTTGAGCAACCTGGTCTGGTGGGAGGTATCTCTGCCCATGGCAGGGGAGTTGGAACTCGATGATCTTCAAGGTCCCTTCCTACCCAAGCCATTCTATGATGTTATGATATAATATGCAGATAATTTAAAAACTTCAAGTTATCCTAAATTATTTTCAAGCAACCTCAAAGGCCTCTACTTAGGTATTCAATAAACCCTTTCACTTAAGATAAAATTGTAGTTTTTCAGTGCTTGTGTACCCAAAAAACAGAGGCTGCAATGAAGCATGAAATAATAAAGCTGTATAACAGAGCATAAGACAAGTCTTACAGCTGGGTATAGGACCTGCATATCTGGCTATGACTTTTTTTCCTACCATATTGTTCTTTATTATTACTAATTACCCTTCGTTGAGCTCTCAACAAACCTTTTATTATCAAATTATATATTACCATTGTAATATGTCCATACAACCTGTCAACATTGCTTAAGTGTTTTATAAACATAAACAATTTAATCTTACACTGCCTTTGCAACATGAATATTATTATCTAACTTACAATTTCTTTGACTTCCTCTTGACGCCCCTGTTGGAATACAGTTTTTGCAACGTAAGCAATTATTATTCCCCTTTAAACAGTTGGTGGTCTACACATCAGATCTGCAATGACATAAAATCAAAAGAGTATATTCAAAGAACAAACATTAAGAGGGGTTCAAATTCTTTCATAGATTTCCTTTATGCTTAACAGATGCCCTTCAAAAATTCACCAAAATACACATGCTTTTTATGAAGAGTTGCTTAAAAACTCAGATGCTAACCTACACATTCTATTTACTTTTATGTTTTTCTTTGCAGTCGTCTAAATATTTTTTTTTTCATGAACATCACAAATAGGTTGCTAGATGCTTCCGTATAATGGAAAGAGTCTTGCATGGAGGATCTGTTTGTGAGCTTATTTTCTCTTTCAGCTCTAGGACTAGATGATGTGATTGGAAACTTTGAGGTTGGCAAAGAATTTGATGCACTGCTCATCAACACCAAGGCTTCAGACAGCCCTTTTGACTTGTTCTCTGCCGATACTTTTGAGGTAATCTGAACAGGACTAATGATCCAGAAAATTACTGGAAATAATGTGGGGAAGGTCTGTGATACAGGCAGAATGTAAGTCTCTTCAGGGTCTTTCCTGTAACAGTAACTTGGGTATAGTGCCCTACTGCTGTATGTATCTCAAACCAAGAGGTACAGGGATTTTATCAGAATCTCACTATCTCAATGACGGGCATATATATCACCATGAAAAAAAAAAAAAAAAAAAAAAAAAAAAAACACAGAAAAAAATAAAGCATGTAGCATTTAAATGCAGTAGCTCTAGCTGATAATTACAGTTAGCTAATTGCAGTACCACAGCACCGCAGCCAAGGAAGAATAATTACTTTTAGTTAACTTTTGGAGTTCAAACTCAATAATGGCAATCCGTTCCTAAGTGAAAGCTGAATTACCTTGGCTTCACTAGTGAAAACTGAAGCTAAATTCCTGGGACTATAAAAATGTTTACAATTTTGCCTTGTTTTTCCAAAAATAAGAGAGCTCTAAAAAGAGGAAAGCACTGTTTTAGCCATATACTTGTTTATACTGTCAAATTTGTGCAGTATTTTCTTCCGGAGACATACATCCTCCCTACTGAAAATTAATTATGACAAAACATGTATATTAAGTTTTAATTTTACTCTCTGCAGGCAGTATATAGGAATATATAGAAAAACTCTTTTCATCAGTTGTTTTCATCAGTTTTTAATAATTATCATCTGGGTTTGCAGATACTGCTTTCTGAATTTGCTTTTCTCCCATTTTTTACAGGACAATCTTGAGAAGTTCCTTTATCTAGGTATGTGCATAAAGCTCTCGTGTTGTTGTATATGTCACAGATCTTCTAAATCAATGTGGAGGTTGTTTTGCATTCATTTATAACTGCTAAATAAGAATTAAATAGTTTTGTTTTTTTTTGGGGGGGGGACAAAAGAACAAAAAGTAGTCAGTTTAGCATGAACAGGTGCATAAGTTTAATTGCCAGATTCATAGCCTCATCTGTCTTTATCTATAGCATAAGCTAAATCATATTTCACAGAAAAGTAATACTGATTTTTTTTATGCAAAGCCTATCACCAGTTCAGAACAAAATCTGATTTCTGCAGACCAGTTGCTGTTGTGGTACCTGAGTGGTACTGCTGCCTGGTACCTGAGTTAGTTCAGATAGTATGCAACAGCTATTTCTGTACTGGTGTGTATTTGCAGATTTTAAATCTGCTAAATACATAGAAAATACATGACACCACTGCAGCAGCTGAACGCTATGTGTTTTTTTTTTCAAAGAAGCATGAGTAGTTTAATGCCCATTGATGTTTGTGGTGTTTATGGCATCTGACTATTTCTCTTGAAATGATACATAAGAATACAAATGATATATAAGAATACAAGTTTTTGTGGATTGCATCATTTTAATTAATAAAATCAGTGCATAGAGTTATGTGCAATTCTCTCTTTTGACTATGTTATTTCAGGTGATGATCGGAATATTTCTGAAGTGTACGTGGCTGGAAAGCAAGTGGTTCCTTTTTCAAGTTCAGTATAAATCCATTTTTCTTTTGCACAATATTCTGCTGACCTCTCTGCCTATGATTTGAAAAAAGATTGGATAAACACAGTGCCTGATCATCAGGAATGACATTTCATTTATGTTTAATGTTTTAAAACTTTCAAATGTGAGAAAATTTGTTAGATCTTTCAAGAATTATGTTACCAAAATTGTCACAGTTCTAAGATGAAACAGGCATTTAAATTTATCTGTAAAAATAGTATATGTGCATCAACAAGGGATTTGCTAAATATCTTACTTGAATAGGACAACTGGTGTTCCTTTTAATAATAATGTAAGAAGTATTAAGGAGAGCAAACAAATTCTCACTGTCTATAAGATGTTTAAATTGAAAAAAATGCCAGTGCTGGTTAACAATTTCTGCAAATAATGAATATCAGAAACAAGTGTAATTTCCTTTGTATTATCACCAAGCATAGAGAATTTAGTGTCATTTGAGGGCATTCAGAACATTTTTCATTTTTGTTTATGTATGTGATTAGTTTTCAAAATTTAATTTTAAGTATTTTTTAATTGAAATTAATTAAGAAGTATGTACTTATAATCAATTAAGGGTCCTTATTATCAACAAGCTCAGATTTCTGATTAACAGTCAGGCAGAAGAGAACTGGTGGAAGAACCAAGTAAAAAATACAGAATTGGTCGAACAGAACAAGAGCAGAAGGGCTGCACCATTCTGTGATGCTGTGAGCTGAAACTACATTTCCTCAAATTTCACTCTGATGTTTAGAAGCAGTCTGCCTAATCTTCCACCCATTCTCTTATTGAATCTCCTTCAGTTGAGTGACCGCTGAATGAAACACGCATAAAACCAGAAGCAGGCACTGAGGTGTCTGTGCGCTTCTCAGTTGAAAATACTTTTTTTCTGGACTAGAGGGCGTGCTTCCTCTAGTTCAGCCTCTTGCAGAACCTTATTAAATTCATTTGCTCCTGATTATTCAGACTATGAGTTATAAAATATCCCTTCTGCTTTCTGTAGTAGAAGTGAGTATGTTTAAAGCAAAAGCTGCAAGAAATGGTCTATCTCTCATTGTTACTACCTTTGACTTGAGATGTTAATTCCTCTCTGGAAAGAAGCAACTCAATTTCAATGTGTTCCTTTGTGTCTTTCAACACTGGAACAAAAATTCCAGCCCTGTACAATGCCAGCTAAAAAAAAAAAGAAAAAAAAAAAGTGCACTTTTTATTTTATTAGTCCATGTAATTTCCTTTCTTTAAAAAGTGTATTTCCCTGCTTATTATTGCAGGTTTTGTTTTGTTTTGTTTTCCCGATAGGATTAGTTTGAGAAGGGAGTTTCTTGTTCCTTTATTATGTTGTTTTTGTTTGTTTGTTGTTATTTTTTTTAATGCAAAGAATGTAAACTTTAATTTCAGTGCCAGTGGAGACAATATTGCACTGAATTACTGTATGTATGTGTTGAGTATGGTTTTGGGGATTGCTTCAAACTCGTTCGATTTCAATGAGCTTAGTTTCATACTTTTATCTCACTGTCTGATGATACAAGGGTGCAAGACCTCCTTGTGCTCCTGAAATAAGGTAACTGCATGAAAGTCTCACTCTGGGTCTATGTACGAGGGAACATTTGGCCTAGTATCGCTAACAACTTGCTCTGATTTTAACAAACATTTTCAGAGCTTACATACATTTAAGGCTATACCTAGATGAGACAGTTTAGCATCAAGTGGAACTATACAAGCTAGCTTAGGCATTGAAAATACGTAAAGTCATTTTCAGTGTGGTGTGTGTGTGTGTATCTTTTTTTTTTTTTCCTTGACGCAGAGTAGCCCTACTGAACAGCATGGTATTTTGGCTTGCATATGCCACCCTAAAGCTGCTGCACTGCTTGCTCATATAGAGTTAGCTCAGGTATCTTCACACTGCACTGGTCTGTGCTGTATGTTTGCTAAAGTACACTCTTTTTTTTCCATTATGTTTAATCATTCCTAAGGCTTTAGGATTTAAGATTTAAAGATTAAAGTTTTCACATTCCATCAAGGCGTCTGCTTAAAAAGATTGTTCGTCATGTGTCCCAATTACATACATAGTAGCACACTTCCTTGGCAAATACAATCTGCAATTCTTTAACTTGGTTTCCTGATTCAGGGAGCATTTTTCCTCATGAATTTTGACATGAATTAATTGACCAAATTTCACATTCCAAAACCAAAGATCTGTGAGACATATGTTTTAATTCTCCAGTTACTGTCTGAAACTATTTTTAGGGAGTTGCATAGTTTACAGCTTTGGCTTTCCTATAGGAATGTATTTTGGGACAGAGAAAGATTACGCAGCTTTGTGTACTATATATGTTTGTGCTGTAGTTCTTTGCTTCCAGAGCTATGAATTATATCAACACTTTTATTTAGTGGTAGTCCAAACCATGCCTGACTTTATTGCTTCCTTGCTATTCTGTGGGGTTGTTAAGAATAGGATTCAGTATTTCTTCTTGAAAGATTTGGCAGGGGGAGGAGAGGTTGCTTATTTGCAAATTGGGAATACAGAAAAAAAATCTAACAAGTTCAACACTAGCTCCTGCTGGCCCATTTACAAAGGGACTCCCTAGGAAAAGTACTGCCAGTGAGCTTTGGATTTGGATATGGGATGTGTAATGAGCAGTTTCACTCTTGTTAAAATTCAGGCACAAGGCAGGAACTCAGCTTTTTGATTATAGCTTTACTGATGTCTGGTAGCCAGACACAGTCCAGACTTGGAACTGGAGAATCATCTTTTCAAGAATCTCAGCTGAAGAAGGAGCTCTTCCTGCAGCCCCATACGCTCCCTGTGACGGGGAGGAGCATGGGCCAAGATGAACAGTGTCACATGTGAGGTGCTTAGTGGTAAAGAAAAGAAGCCAGAATTTGGTGTGAGAGGGAGCCAGTGGAGAAATTAATATAGCCACGTAAAGAACAAATTGGAAGGTAGTTTCAATAGAGGCATCTTAAATAGAATTGAGTGAAGCAACACTCTCATGCCAGAAAAAAAGAAAAAAAAATGAAGTAGGACCCTTTGAGGTAGACCTAAAAGCTCTTTCAGTGCTTTTCAGGCTTACACAATGAAAACTTAATGTTTTAGGAGAGTCAGAGGATGTGTTAGCCAGACTTCTTTGAAGCAATTTTGGGAAAGTAACTGAGGACCCCTCTGTGGAGTCCTTGGGACTCTGTGGCTGTGTGCAGATAGCCAAGATGCTTGGTGCAGTAGGAGAATATCAGTAGATGAAAGTGGTTACTGCTGATACTCATACCTCTACACCGTATGCAGTCAGTGCCTACATATAGTCTGATTCCTTGGATGAATGTCCCCACTGCTTACATGGTCTGAAGCAAGCCAAATAATTGGTGCAGATGCTTGAAGTCTCTATTAGAGTTTGGAGTGTATTTGGCATGCAACTGAGCCTCCAGTGCAGATTCTTCCAAGAGAAACATAATCCTTTGTGGTATACCAAAACTGCCCTACAAACTGAACCAATATTCAGTCAGTGAGGCTGACTGGAAAATTCACTTCAAAACAACGCTACTATCTCAAACCAAAAATGCTGATAGATGCAAGGACATAACACCATTCCCCCTCCATACTTATTGCCACAGACAACAAATGAAAGCAACTTCCTTTCTCCTCCCTCCTCTTTCAAAAAATATAAAATAATAATAATAATAAAAAAAAAAAAGTAGAAATAAGCCAGCCACACACTAAGGGGAGATGACTAAGTAGAATAAAAGATAATTTTCAGTCAGCATAAATTGACATCATGCTACTGACTTAAGATAAAGCCTCTGGAAAAATGTACATGCAACTGTTTCCAGATGTCAGTCCTCATTAGTTGTCTTTTCAGATTGTGGATGGGATCTTTATTTTTAACATTTATTTGTGTTTAGCATCAACAAACTTTTCAGACAAATTAAAATTAAGGGTAGTTTGTGGAAAGCTTGCTTGTTGGGACAATGTGTTTAATGTGTTCTATGTTCAGATGACCAGCTATTTATTATAAATGGAGTATATATGAATTACTTTTATATGTTGATCTCATTGTGTCACTTTAGTTTTTGATTATTAATGAAATGCAAGTAAGTATTGCTTATGCATTATGCAGCATTATTTGAATTATTCATGTGTGGCAAGTGGAGTTATTCACTTTCAAATGTTGGCTTGGCTTAATGTTTATATTTATTGTGTGGTTTTGTGCAATCAGAAAGCTTTATAGGAAAAAAAATATATGTTCATTGTACTGAGATTTTCATTATTGTAACTGGAATTTCTGTCAAAAAGAAATGTTAAAGTGACCCTGTTTAAAAGTCTGTGCCTGATTATACAGTCATGAATGAAAAAAAGTATAATGGTTTTATAAAAGCTGACACAAATAGTAATGTTTTAATTAAAAATATATATATTTACAGAGAAATAGATTTTTTATTCTAACCATGATTGTGCAGTGCAGATTAGCAAAATTTAATGATTCTTGCTAAATACCTGCTAGTCTGCTGAGCAAAGAATATAACTTTGATTGTATATTTAACAAGGATATACATGCTTTGAAAAAGAAGAAGCCTAACTTCTTTCACAGAATATCTCAATTTTAATTTGAAGTTATATTAACAATATTGCTCAGAGAAAGAGTTTGCAAAAAAAAAAAAAAAAAAGTTATGTTTTCCTATAAACAATTCTTAACAGATGACAGAGTGGACAGCTTCTAAAATAACACTGGGCTTGTGTGAATAAATGGTAATATATTACATGCTGTCCTGTGTATAGTAGTGGTCAACACATCTCTAAAGAGATGGTGCACAAGTAGAAGGAATATCAGGAAAAAAAGAAAGAAAAAAAAAGAAAAAAAAAAGAAAAAAAATAAAACAAGGGACATGGGGAATTTGAGAAAAGACTGAAAAAAAATCTGAAAAGATTTCAAAAGGCTGGTAATAGAATGAAATATAATGCAAAGTAGAAAGAAGCTGGATTAGGGGAAGTCAGAAAATCACGATGACGTATCAGTGAAGTTTTAGGTAGGAAATGCTCAGAAAATAAGAGATTTTTTTCAGGGTATATTCTGTTAAATCATAGACTTCATTCCTTCAGAAAGTCATTGAAGCCCAAGAGTAGAACAGATTTCCAAAGTAAAACAGTTATTTATGTGCTTAAAAGAAGAGCCCAAATTATCACAGCTAATTATAACACTTTTCAACCTCTCAAAATCTACTTCAAGATTTTATACAAAATTACCTGTAATAACTCCAGTAGAAACCTAATACAAGTTATGCTTTATCTTCATGTCTCCTATGAAACATTTGGCATTGGCCAGGTCAGATACTGAAGCAGTCTGAACTCAGGGAAGAACCTCTGCTCATGCATGCACCACACATCGTGCATCTCATGGTGCAATGATAACAGACTCCAGCACAAGAAGAAAAGTATCTGGTGTGGCTAGACTCCCAGAAAATGAGCTGTTTTAAAAATCAGCTTGTTTTCAAGTCCAGAACACTGCAGAGAGCACAGCACATTTTATACTGCACATACCTAATAGGGAACTTAAAGCTACCGGGAACTTTGCCCTGAAGTTTGTTGTTGTTGTTGTTGTTTTAAGCCCTGCTACTGTATGTGTAACAAATTGTGCTTCTCTCAAAAGAGAAGCAAGCAAATGACATCTGCATGGCTCTCTTAAATGAAACAACAGCAGCAAAAAACATTCTTGGGAAGCCAAAAGGACATCAGCAACAATCTTCTATGTAAAGTTAATAAAACTGTTAGTTTTCCTCAAAAAGCTGAGCAGTGCTTTTGGAGGGCAATTTCCTGGAAATTTCAATGGAAATTTTTTCTTGGAAAATGTCCTAAATCAGCGTGTGCTTCAACCAATGAGATCCCCTGTGGCTTCTGCAAGCAGCAGCTATTTGTGCAGAAGTGAATGCAATAGGCATGCCTGAAGTCATACTTTCTCCCTGACCAGGACTCAGACTTGTGTGTTTAGTTCATGGTTTCTCACAGACTTCATTTTAATTTGAAAATAAGTGGTATGAATGAGTACAACTGGGAGAAGGATAAGGCTTGAAAGTCAATCTTATGCCAACCCACCTAAAACTTAAACTCAAAAGATCTCTCCCATCAGGAAAGTATTATTATGTTTTCACAACTCTTAGACTCAGTGTTTTGGCTTCATGACTTGAGTCAGCAGGTAGCAAACACTGCCAAGACCAGGATGTGAAATGTGAGCAGCTGACATAAACATAAGAGCATTTTACCTTGGTCTGTGTTTGAGCCACAAGAAGCTTTGCTTAGCCTTCTGGTGGCTAGCTCCTAGGCTCCTTTACATAGAAAAACTCCCTGGAGCTAAGCCTTCAGTAGAAGGGACCAGTGTTGGTTACAACTGAAGATTTTGATCTCTGTGTCGTATCTGACATGGCTTTGGGGATGGTTTGTGTGCTCCCTTAAAAGCTTTTGCTGATGAAGGTTTTAAAAAGTGATTACATGTATTCATTAGCTGTTGAAGATAGCAGACTGTCACCCTTGCTTCTATATGAGCCTTCTTTCCCCAAGGGAGAAGGGGCATTTCAATGCAGTGAGCTTTTCTGATTCTGGTCCTTGGTTTTGTCAGCTTGTCACCTATTGTGTGTAGGCTCTGTCACACATTTTCATGAGAAATACCAACCAGGAGTTATGTTGTTGAATGCCTCTTCCCTGTTGTGCTTATGTGTAGCTTCAAGGAAGAACAATGTATTTGGAAAAAAATGCTATATGTGATTTCCTCTGTTCTGCTTGGTTTTGATCATGCTAAATGGGAACTTATGTACTGTTGAAACAAAATAAAGTGGCCTTGTGTTTACACCAGCCCCCATCTGTTTCTGTGTTTGACTTTGGAGGAGAGAGGAGGAAGGTGGCAAGCAGACTAATGAAGATTTACAGTGAAGACCATAATACATGGCAAAGTGTCAGTGAAGCTCAATACTGGGAAACGCAGACGCACCCACTGTAGGGGGTTGTAAACTGCTTCATATGTATGACATTATTTTAAGGGATCTTTTTCCAGACTCTAAATTCTTAGAGCATTTGATGTAGCTTTATTACCAGATTTGCTGGCTTGATAAATCAAAGCAAGTGCCTCAGTAGCATTTTTATTATTTTGTGTGGAAGTAGACTACCCTGAAATACTTTTTTCTTGTGTTTGGCAGCAAGCACACAGAGTCACATCTCCTTTAATGTGTTTTTCTTCACTTTCTTTCTTTTCAAAGCATAGACATATAAATGTCCCCAATCTAAGCAGCTCTGAATCACACCAAAAACAGATTTCCTTAAAACAAAAACTCCCATAGGAGAACGACTAATTAAACGCTGAGGAATTGTGTGCTACAGTTTTGAGAATTATGTGCAAGTTGTTACCAACTAATGCAAAATTATGTGCACAAGAAATAAAGTCATTTTGTATTTTCATCAACCAATTTAGCACAAGTCATGCAAACTACAGAGGAAAGACAAAATAAAACTTCTTTGTTCTACTGTTTTTAATAGAAGGGCCTATTGAAGCTTTCAGCATTGGAATTCTATTGCTTAATATTCTAGTTTGGAAAATAGCAGTGAGAAATGCCTTCATGACATTTTGCTAGAGTACTATATTAAGTTTTTATCTGAGATTTTATTTAAAGCAGTATAAGCCCCAGACGTGAGCACAGCGGGTATGTAAGCCAGTTTGAAAATGTAGGAGCCTTTGGGTATGTTGTCAGTAAATCTCAGGTACAATTACCTGTTTCACTACAATTAATTTGTGCAGATGTGGTGTACACATGTGAACGCAGAATTTGCAAGTTTAAAAAAAAAAAAAAGCCATTGAATAGTCATGAGCAGATTACCAGTGTAATTTTCACCAGTCTCTTCCCATGGCTACTAGGAAGAACACAAAGACTCTTCATTTGGGATGAGGTGCTGAATCATTTATAACTAAGCTTAATAGGTTTATAGTTCATGAGTTAAGAACATAGTTAAAATGCAAAGGAAAGTTGCTTGCCCTATGCTTATATCCTGTAATTAGCTGTCTTCTTTCCAAAGTAACAAGTTTGTGAGTTTAATTCTTGCATTAATTCTGATTAAAAATGCCCTTTAGGAATTAACCTAAAAATATGTTCAGAAATGCCATGAAATCCAGATGGAATGTGAGCAGTGCCTCTTTCTTTCCTATTTTGTCCTAAAGGTACCGTTCAAAATATAATAGATACTCCGTCTATTAGAACATGGAAGTAATAAAATGGTCTAATCCCAACCCCCAGTTAAAACAAATTGCAGCGCTGGTGAAGGCCCATAGCTGCCATAGGCACAACTTCTCTGGTACTTCGTAAAGAATATCTGTTCCACTGCAGGCAGTGTTAACACTTGTTATATTAGCTATAGTGCCGACTAAACTGTTCCCTGAGCTTTTAATTTTGAAGAGAAGGGACAGAAATAGCTGTGGGACAAAGGGGGATTATAAAGATTGAACTTTGCAAAATTTTTACTGTTAGACTTACTGCTGCTGTTTCACTTCAAGTTCTGCTTGGTAATACTTCTGATCGGTATATGGATTGTCCTTACATGTGATCATCTGTGCATTCCGGTTTTGGCTAAATATACTTCAACTTTATACATTACCATATCTTTGGAAAAATGCCTTTATGTGTGAAAATGTAACGGTTGCTTAGGAACTTAATTTATGACTCTGAAGTAAAAAAAAAAAAAAAAAAAAAGAATGTGTGCACAGGTATTTGCATAAGCAACCCTGTAAAAATACTGTGACATTATTCATGACTTATTTTCATATTGTTTATAAAAGGATTACTACAAAGAGAATCTCCAGACAGGTCTACCTGTGTACATGCAAAGCTGTCTTTGAAAGTTAGTGTGTGCATCTACGTTAGCATTTTAGTTCAGAGCACAAGTGAGCATTCAAAGAGAGTCTTCCAGTCACCTTCATTTCTGTGTTTGCTTTGCCTCACAGAGTGGTTTTGAACTGCATTGCTTTGTAATGAAATAGAAGATGTACTTAGAAGTGCACCTACTACATTCAGTGGACATTCAACCCATGGGACTGGACCAGAGCTAGCCTGAAATTAAATGACTTGGAGCGGAGTATGAAATACATTTCTGTTACAGAATTTGAAGTTGGCATAAATACTTGCCATTGCTGAGTTGTAAAGCCTAACCCTTGAATCAATTCTCTTGTTATAGTTCATCAGTGCAATTCAATTTATGACTTCTTCTCCCTTAAAAGATACATTTGTTCCTCCTTGACATTATTCTAACCATCATGTTCTTCATGATCTTATGAAGTGAGAAATTACTGGCAGAACATGATTTATTGAGATTTGGTTGAAGGTTACCTCTAAGATTGGAGTTAAATCTTAACCTAAACTGAAAGAAAATAAATCTTAATGAGAATAGTGGCTTTAATCACCATGGACTAAATATCAGAGACCAGAATGTACCATCACCCCCTGAAGAGCCAGTCCTGTTCCCCAGGTTTACTCACACTTGTACACACAAACAAGGATGTTCTTAGCAATCCCCTAGCACAGCACAGTGGCATACGATTCACAGACCCTTCACCTCATATGCTAATTACACCAGATGTCCCGATGAATTTGAAATTAACTAATGCCAAAAATGTTTAAATACAAAATTAGTTCTCTTAAAAATACACAGCTGTGCCCTGCTCTTACTTCAGCAATAGTTCTTAGAGTAGGCAGTGTTTTCCTTTCACATTCAGCCTTGTGCAAATATCCTACAGGTATCACATTTCTGACTGTTCAATTTTACTAAATTCACCCTAAGAAACATCTAGAAATGTCTTTTTCTAGAAAGAAAAAAAAAGTCTGCTTTTCTGTCTCTTTTTACCAAACACATACCAGTAGTGCAATGACAGAGATTTACAGGTCACTGTCTTCCCTGTGAGCCCACTGTAAAGGGTCCTGTCATTTTCCAGTCTTGTCAGGTGGGCTTTCCCCATCACCACATCGTTAGGTTGCAGAGGGTCAAGGTCACTTTTTAGCATCAAATATACAAAGATTATGAAAGAAAAGATTTGTATTCTTTGGAAGTACCCTCCAAATCCAGCTCTGCTTGCCACTGTCCAGCTTGGTGTCCTACCAATGACACATCCTACAACTGTGATCTTCTGCTCCTCCAGTGAGAGCTTCGCTCTTGCCTCAGTTGAGTGTATCAAGAATTTTTAAGCACAGGAAATGTACTTTTCTTTCTTTTTTTTTCTTTTTTTTTTTTTTTCCTTCCCCCTCCTCCCCTTACTGTTACTTCAGAGCCCATCATATACATCCACAGTTGTGAAAATTCCATGTGTTAAAAAAAATACTGATTCTCCTCTGTTGGTCCTGAGGAGCAAGGAAGACAGACATTTCACAAATGAAAAAGATCATACAGATCTCATGAGGCCTTGCCATACATTTTCCCTTTGTTTTCATTTATATAGAATATATAATAGAACATATAATTTCTTATGAGTATAACTTGACCATATCTTGAACTCTTGCTGTTGTGGAAAGAGTCGCAACTGTTGCTGGGTTCCTTCTGAAGTACAGAAATGATTCCTGACCCCAGAGCAAAAGGACCACTTCACTTTTCAAATGCCTGTTGCATTACTAGTTTCATGCTTATTAAGATAAATGCACCTCTGTCCTTCCAATGCTGACCCACTGGCAGTCCCTCACATATATAAAACAGACCCCCATCTGTTCACCCATTGCTTGAGAGCTTCAGTTTTCCCATCTGATGTGACCACAGTTGTGTAGAAAAGGCAATGGTCACTGCGGCGTTTGTACAGCTTGTGAAACTGCAAATAGATGTGCCAAAGGAGACCAGCACTGGCTAGCAGTGTATGCCAGTCGGCGCTGAGTGATCCTGACACCAATGGAGGGGCTGTGCATGTTGTGGCCCCTTCCAGCATCCTTATACCAAGGTGTGTGTGCTCCAAGAGACATTTGAGAGAAAAGAGGAGAATCTGAACTGTGTACAGAAGGTGCTTTATGGAAAGAGAAATTCACAGATTGCTAAATCTAAGCCTTTAAAGAGGTGAATGGTTACAATCCTCTGCTCTGATCTCTTCTCAAGACTGGCCCTGAGGGAGGGGTGGTTGGGGTGGCCCCACCTTCAGGGCAGAAGCCTGTGAAAGCCAGAGCATCCCTTGATTATAAAGGGAAAGCAAATAAAGAAGCAGAAATACCCCCTTTCAGGAAAACTTCACAATTGGTTCATAAACTAAGAACAGAAAGTTTAGATGACATTGATTTCTTGTCTCATACCATTTTACAAAATTTGCAAGATGTAGCCTGTAAGGGCAGAAATGTAGTATGTTTTTCATACATTACATGTTTGTGTGTTAACATAAATATATGTCTAAGAATTTTTACAGTTTGAAAAATAAAATCAACTTTCATATTAACTCAGCTGCAAAGAAGTTGGTTATTTTGGAAGGCCCGCACCGCGTACTAATTCAATGCCATTTTAGCTTGCAAACTATGTTTTCCCATGTGAGCCAGGCGCAGAGCTGGTTAATAATTTCCATTTTTGCACTTGAATAAAAAACTAGCGAAACAGATGAGAAGTTCATTCCAGTTCGACTCAGATTATGGATTTTTCATCAGATTTTTTTTTTTTTTTTTTTTTTTCCGAGTAAACAGGAAGAAGGCTGTCCCCTCTGAAAGCAAAACAAGGAGAAGGGCTGCAGCCTCCAAAAAAAGGAGGCGGGCCGGGGCCGTGCCGTGCCGTGCCGTGCCTTGTGAGGTCCTCAGTGTCGGGGGCCGCCCGCACGGGGGCGAGGCAGCGCCGTGCCCGCAGCGCCCGGCTGGGCCCGG